CATGAAAAAATATGAAATTTTCAACACTTAGAAAAATTTCTAAGTTTAGAAATTTGACTTTTCAAAATGAAATCTTGAATTTTTGATTTCTTGATGAACAAGTTTCATATTTTGACATGTTTTGATGAATTATGATCTTTGACACTTGATTTTGACCAAAAAGTCAAAGTTTGACTTTTCAGTGTACAATTGACTTTTAATCAGTTGACTGAAAACCAACTATCAATCAATTGATCTTGAGGAATATTTTGAGCCATGCCATTAGGTCAAAATGATGCATTTGAATCCTTGAGAACATGTCTCAAACTAATCAATCATTTTCTAGGTTAAAAATCAGAAATTGCCTCTTCTTAGTCAAAACCCAAATTTCTTGAGGAATTGTGATCCAAATTTGATCAAATGACATATATGAATTCATAATGTTGATATGGATAAAAATTATGAAGTTTGACTGTAAATTGACCACAATTGACTTTTCCCCAATACAACTGATTTTAGGTCAACTGATCAATTGACTGAGCAAAAATATGATCCAAGACTTGAAACTTGACATGGGAAATCTTGAGAGTCCTAAATGATCCATGAAAGTCATATGGAGAATTAAAAGTCCATGTCCTTGTGCAATCTCAAACCCTAATTTTCAGTCATCAGTGTTTGAGGAGGTGTCTTGAGCTGATCAAACCTTGTACAGTCTTTAACCAAAGGAGATCTTGTGAGAGATTACTTGATAAATGAGAAGGCAAATTTTGGGGTACAACAATGTGCATCCAATTTTCCATTTTCTTTCCACTTTATTCTGAAAAAGATTTTAAAACGCTTAATTTGAAAACAACTTGATGTTGGATTAAGTGTTTAATTCTTATAAAAAGATTTGAATTAATCGAAAAACTACTTGACATTGGATCAAGCATTCTTTAATTATTTGAAATTGGTTAATTTTAATATTTTATTTATTTAATCAAACTAATACATTAACATCAAATATTAATAATAATGTTAATTACTATAAAAGACTAAAAAACAATCGATGACTAAAATAAACACTAAAAGTAAAACTAGAAAAAGATGGCAAAATAATCATAAAAAGGAAAAAAGAAAATAAAAGAATGTAAAAAAATAATACAAGGAAAAAAGAAATAAAATGAAGGAAAATAGGCGAAAGAAAAAGAAACACAAAGCAAAGCCCAAATAGAGGGTGCAAAAAGCATCCAGGGGGTGAGCATGGTAATGGGCGAAGGCCTAACAACTAAACCCAGTCCAACTGAAGTTAAATTAATTGACTGATCTGCATCAGCCGATTAGAATACTTGATGGTTAAGGGAACATCATAAGGTGACAAGGGGTGCACACAAGACTAAGGGTGGGGATCACCTCATGTGATCCCTAGTTGACTCAGAAATCAACAATAATCCAAGGAAACAGGAAGCACCAAGTGTCAAGTATCCAAGGGCGTTGAGAAGAAGTATATAAGTGCATTTGCTTTTAGAAAAGCCTCATTTCCAAATCTCCCTCTCTCTCTCTCTCTCTCTCTCTCTCTCTCTCTCTCTCTCTCTCTCTCTCTCTCTCTCTCTCTCTCTCTCTCTCTCTCTCTCCCTCTCTCCTCTAATCCTCTCAACCTTTCTCCAACCAAAACCAACGGCCACCACTGGCCTCCCCATGCACAACCACTGTCCTCCCCTAAAGTCGCCCTAGTTTCCAAAATCCAGCCAACACCACCTAAAACCTAATTTTCTAAACACAAATCCCTACCAAAAAACCCTTATAATCACGTTTCCAAACCCATATATCCCAAAAACCTAAAAAAACCTTTGGATCGAAGCAAACGAAAAACTAAAACCCTATGTTCCAATACTTCAAAATCAAATAAAATTTAACCTTAATATCCTACCTAAACAATGTTTCAGCCTTAAAAACTACCAGAAACAAACCTAAACAACATAATACAACATGAAATCTATAAAGAAATTCAAAGTAAAATGTGAAAAATTAAGTGTTCACCAATTATTCGATAAACTGTTTCATTTGGTTTTATCAATTATTTCATTGGATATTGGTTGGCCATGTAATTGTAACACAATTACTTGAGATTTTACTGTATTAAGATTTTATTATCATCATTCGAGTGAGTATGAATTGTATGCATATTTGAGCCTCCGATAAGCGGTTCGGTTTGGATGACTTGTGATCTATGATTAAACTTCCGCTTGCCATAGTTTTCGCTAATATTTTTTAAACAAAATAAGTAAAAATTTTCTTTGGGGATCTATAAACCCACCTTTAGATAAGTTGTCATTGTCTAACACAAGGAATACCGGGTGCACACTGAAATTGTAACATGGTAGCTATTTGGTCCTGAGTAAAGGTGTCATCATGGTTAAACATACAAAACCTAACAGTTGCAATGGCCAAATAACCAAATAAACCTGTTTTGAATCACAACCTCATGTGACTCGAATCAAGTGTTAATCCTTATTCGAATCAGATGTCTCTATGAAAGACTATAACTTAATTTGAATAAAAAAAACTTGTGATTTGAATAATGATTTCTTTTTGACTCGAATCATAACTTCACAAATTCAATTATCCATATTAGATTTAAATAGTTGTTTCTTTGATCCAAAAACAAAAAGTGTGAAATAATATGGGTAAAACCCATATAGACAAAAATGTCAATTTGTCTTCTTTTCTTTGGCGTGTCTATTCTTCGCACCAATAATCTTTCTATTCTTCTCTATAATAACTTTTGAGTGTTAATCCATGTCTGATTCACTTCTTTTTAGTGCATATTATTCTTGTGCAATTTGTTGTTTTTTTTGAATGAATTAGAGAGAGTGAGTTGATTAATCATGTTGTGTTATTCATAATTAATCAAGCTCATGATATCCAATCAAAAACCAAGACCCATTCATATAAAAATTAAAAAGAACATTGTGTGTGTATTCTTCTTTCACATACAATCTAATCCTTTGACTAACACCTTGTAAATTAGAGTTTCTGTGAGATAACCTGGCATTGTTCATCATCTTCATACTTAGTCATTTTCCATTATTATGGACCATCATCTTTAAATATTGAGCGTTGAGGGAGAGTAATGATACATTATGGTATCTAATATTTTTGTGTGAAGTTTGTTGTTTGTAATAGGAGCATATATCGTTTTTAGAATGTTGTTTGGTCTTTATAGCTATATATCAAGGAAATAAATTCAGTATACTCCATGGGAGACTTAGGTAAGATCAAATATCAATTGTCCATAAGGCGGAGTTGAAAGTTACCCATCTTTGGTGGTGTTGGAGAAAAATTGCTTGCACACAAAGTTAGGAGTTGTCTAATCAACGCTTAGCTAATGACAATTGCTCAGACAATAAATCAGTGAGATTAGGTGGATTGCCACACACGAATACTTGGAGCAGGTTATTATGGATAACATGGTTATATGATGAAGATCTTTAGATGCCTTATTTTTGTTATAGGTTTGGATGTTTGTAGCAACAGAGGGGATTATTGTGTGATGGTTCTTTATAATCAAATAGATTGTATCAAACTTGTCAAAATAGTGGAAGATCGTGATTATTTTCCAGTGGTTTTTAGTACCATTGAAGAGTGAAGTAGGTAAAGCAGTGACGGACGTTGAACTACTATATATCTATGTGTATATTTTCTTCTTCTCTTATCTCCTTTAAATATTTCAATATTCATTAATATCGCTATCACGTTAGTGCGTTATTGCATTGTTTGTATGCCATATATGTTAAACCGTACTTATAGAGATTTAATGTATAAGCTTAAAGTTATGGTGTGATCGAAAAAATAACAAGTGTACTATTTTTTATCGATGTAGTAATAATGGGATTTTCCCAAAGTATCGATTTCAAAGACTATGTAGGAAATACTGAGTTTTATTATTAATTCAATTAAACAAAAACAATAGTTTTGGGTTTGATTAAGATTAAATGACTAATTGTAAAATGTGCCTTTTTCTGTTTGATTAAAAGATGCTAGGAGTGAGTGTATAATTTGCCATGAAATAACCTTCACTCTTTGATCTTTTCAACAAGTTCATCAACCTCAATTACCGATTCTTAAGATTATCTTTCCCTAAGTCCTTAGTGAAAAATCTTTAACCTTCTACCCTAATTTCAATGTCCATTCAAATTAGTTTTGAGGTTAAGCATTCAATTATCAAGAACTATTCCGGTTATCATAAGATTGCCCTAGTCCTAGGTGAAATCATATGTAATATCATTATTTAGATAACCTTAACACGACCGTCCGACTCTAATGTGTTAATAATAGTGAAACCCTATGGTCCCATGGGGTAAAACTATAAATTCTTCTAAACAATCAAATTGATGCATAAAAACTGTTATGTTGAATAAAACAAAGAGATCAATATTCTTAACATTGCAAATCAGGGACACCCCTAGCATTAGGGAGTTTAGCCTCTTATAGAATTCAAAAGTAAAATAACACAGATATTAGATGTAGACATTATAATAAGTCTAGATGGTTCAATCTTCAATTACTATCGCACATGAAGAGTTATCCGTTCCCAAAGCTCCTTTGAATCTCCAGTCTTCTATTATGAAATTATTCAATAGTTCCAAAAGTCTCTTTTTCCTTCTCCAAATTAAGTTTCCAAAAAGTCTCTTTTTCTTTCTCTAAATTAAGTTTAAGTAGTCTGGTCCTTCCTAGGTGATACAAAAAGTTTAAAGTAGCATCCAAAATTAAAAAATACTAAAATTTCTCAAAATTAAGAATTATCAATTTGAGTCATGTATAATTTGAATCATGATGTACTTTATATGAATTAAGTCTTAGATTTTGACCAAATTCAACTTAACATTTTAGTAATTATTAAATTTATCATTTAAAAAAAAAAAAAAAAAAGTAAATGTGAAAGAAAAAATTTAGGGTGATAAAGTAGAGAAAGAATGAAAGCAAAGAAACATAAACATAAACCCTAGTTTTGATATTGATCTAGAAAGTTGAAGTCTAATATGGACGACTTGGAGAAAGGAATTCTTATCATGTTTGATGAATCGGGAGCCATAGATGATGAATTGAAGATTAAAGCTAAAAGTTATTGCACCGATATTAGGGAGAAACCATCGGTTTGTAGATTATGCATTCAAAAGTTATGCTCTTCAAATCTTGTTCAAGTTCAATTCTGGTGCCTACAGACTTTGCATGAAGTCATTCGGACACGATACTCAACAATAACCCCCGAAGAGAAGAACGTCATCAGGGGTACTGTCTTTTCAATCGTCTGTCTCGAAGACAAGAACCCTACTAGGGTTTTACAGGGTCCTGCATTTATAAAAAACAAGCTTGCACAGGTTTTCATAGCTTTGATTTATTTCGAGTACCCTTTGATTTGGTCTTCTGTTTTTGTTGATCTTTTACCCCATCTACGCAAGGGGATTTTGGTCATAGATATGTTCTGTAGAGTTTTGAATGCTCTTGATGATGAATTGATTAGTCTCGACTATCCTAGAACCCCTGAGGAGTTGACTGTTGCATGTAGGGTTAAAGATGCAATCAGACAGCAGTGTGTATCCGATTTAGTCAGAGCTTGGTATGACATTATTTCTATCTATCGTAATTCTGATCAACACCTATGTTCCATTGTTTTAGATTCCATGAGAAGGTATATTTCTTGGATTGACATTGCCTTGATCTACAATGATCTTTTTGTCCCTTTGTTATTTGATTTGATTTTCTTTGGTGCTCCATCCGATCAGCTCCAAGCTTCTGCCCTCAGATGTTTGTTAGCCGTAGTTTCTAAGCGAATGGAGCCCCAATCGAAACTGTCCTTGTTGCAAAGCCTTCAAATTAGTCGTGTGTTTAGGTTGGTGACCGAGGATGGCAATGCTGACCTGGTTCCTGACATTGCTGCGTTGCTTTCTGGGTATGCTGTGGAGGCCTTGGATTGCTTTAAACGTATAAGTTCCGAGGAAGCTAAAGGAGTCTCCATGGAGCTTTTGAATGAAGTTCTACCATCTGTTTTCTACATAATGAAGAATTTCGAGGTTGATGCTTCATTTAATATCGTTCAGTTTCTATCGGGTTATGTTTCTACGTTGAAGACCCTTACCCCTTTGAGCGAGAAGCATATACTTCATCTGGGGCAGATATTGGAAGTTATCCTTGGTCTTATCCGTTATGACCCTGAGTACCGTAACAATCTTGATGTGATGGACAAAATTGGAAAAGAGGAGGAATATAGGATGTCAGAGTTCAGAAAGGATTTATTTGTTCTACTTCGCACTGTGGGTCGAGTTGCCCCTAATGTAACTCAATTGTTTATCAGAAACTCGTTAGCAAGTGCTATTTCAAGGTCATCAGATAGCAATGTGGAGGAGGTGGAAGGTGCACTTTCTCTTTTATATGCACTAGGAGAATCCTTAAGCGAGGAAGCCATAAGAACTGGAAGTGGATTATTGAGTGAGCTGTTGCTTAATCTTCTTTCAACAAAGTTTCCTTGTCATTCCAATAGGCTAGTTGCTCTTGTTTACTTGGAGACAGTGACAAGATACGTAAAGTTTATTCAGGAAAATACTCGATGCATTCCTGTTGTTTTGTCTCCCTTTCTTGATGAAAGGGGCATACATCATCCAAACATTAGTGTAAGCCGCAGGGCCAGTTATTTGTTTATGAGGGTTGTGAAATTGCTGAAGGTGAAGTTGGTGCCTTTCATTGCAGTGATTTTGCAGGTAGCAATTATCTAATCCACCACTCTAGCATGTTTTTTCTGTATTTTAAAAGCTTAAATTTTTAAGCAAATTTTTGTAGAAACTACTTATGACTTGTGTGTTTTTTGTTGGCCCTTTTATGTTTGGATGAATCGTGTGACTGGTTATTCACTATCTCTGTTGTCCTTAATTTGCATGTCTGTCGAATTCAGAGCCTACCTGATACAGTTGCTCGGTTCACTACTACGAATTACACAGCAGAGGAGCTATCAGGGTCAGAAGATGGTAGCCACATTTTTGAGGTATACACATTTTTCAAAGCTTCTGTGAAATTTAAAGCTGCTATGTATATTCTATCTGATTGACACATTCGACAGGCAATTGGGTTATTGATTGGAATGGAAGATGTCCCACCTGAAAAGCAGTCTGATTATCTATCTTCTTTGCTCAGCCCTCTCTGTCAGCAGGTGATTTTTTACTGAAAACTGCCAGATATTTTTTTACTATTAAAATATGTACAAAATTTCAAGATACTCTAATTCTGCGAAATACTTAGCGCCCTTTCCTTTTTCCCCGACAATTATGCTCGGGGTCTGTTACTGCTTGTGTTTGATGCAAATAATTTAGTATGATAGTTTAACACAGGTTGAGGCACTGCTGAGAAATGCTAAATTGTTAAGTTATGAGGAGACTAATGCCAGAATTGCTGTAATCCAGCAAATTATCGTGGCAATTAATTCTCTCAGCAAGGTGCTTCTGTAATTTAACTTTTCTGCCTTTCATCATGTCTCATAAAATTCTGGGAAGATCCATCGTGATATTGTTTTTTCCTCCATTCTTATTAATAAATTAAAAAAATCTAGGGCTTCAGCGAGCGTCTTGTAACTGCTAGTCGCCCCGCAATTGGAAACATGTTTAAGCAGGTTAGTATTTTTTTCTCTTCAAATTGTATTACTTGTGTCCTGGTGGTGTGTTTGGTTTATCACAATGCTATTAAATAGCAGCGTTATAGCGCTATTATGTGGCCGAATTTGCACAATCTACTTTTGCTCCCCAATAGCTATTTAATTCAAAATGTCTAATCGCGGTGCAATAACAGTGTTGCAAAGTGGAGTTTGAACTAACCGCTATTTTTTGCAATTGACAACAATGGTTTATCAGATGTGTACTTTCTGTTATTGTGATAAGAAGTTTTGAACAATATTCTCGTTATAGATGGAAATTCAGAGTTTTTTTTTATAATTCTAGAATCCATCATTGCAGCATCTGCCCATGAAAGATAATTTTTGTGTGTTAAGCCTCTCTCTCTTTTCATTAATTAAAAAAAAACAACAAAAAACAGCAACCAAACCTTATCTCACTAAGTGGGGCTGGCTATATGGATCAAACTACGCCTTAATGTTCTATAAAAAATCATGCTTCTTTTCATGAAACACAAGTTATCATTTCTTAATCTTTTATTGATCTAAATCTTGCCATTCATTCTTCTTTGCAGACATTAGATGTACTTCTCCATGTTCTTGTTATATTTCCACGAGTAGAACTTTTGCAAAACAAGGTATGTTATATTTAATGACTGGATATGTGTGCGCGCGCGCTTGAGAGGGACATGTTCTTGTCATCTGATATCCATGCATTATGTGTAGGTTACATCATTTATACACCGCATGGTGGATACATTAGGCGCATCTGTCATTCCTTACCTTCCAAAGGCACTTGAGCAGTTACTTGCAGAAACTGAGGTACGCAGTATCTCTAATATCTTATATGTTTGACAGTGGTGTTGATTCAAAGTGGCATACATGTTTTGCACCAGAATTTGATTGTTTCCTACTTGACTTTATGAGGTTGTTTTTGCTTTCCTCCTTTCTCCTACGCAAATAAAATAAGAGAAACTTGTGTAATGTCTTGGTTAATTTTGTTGCAGCCAAAGCAAATGGCTGGTTTTCTTTTGTTGCTCAATCAACTTATCTGCAAGTTCAATATTTTGGTGCGTGACATTTTGGAGGAAATATTTCCATCTGTCGCTGATCGGATATTTAGTGTTATTCCAAGGGAGGGATTGCCTTCAGGTCTTGATACAGTCACTGAGGTATGAATGTTTTAATGCAGTTTCCTAATAAATAGCTGTGGTATATTTTACCTTTCCTTTTATTTTTTTAGAAGTAAGTTATCATGACATTTGATTGCTCATTATGATTGGATTACTGTTTGGTGGGGCGGTTTGTACTTTGTGATGTGTGAAAATAGTCATTCTCCTTGCTATAACTATTATCAAATATCCAGTTCTCCATACTCTTTTTTAATTTTCTATAAATTAAAGCCATGCTATGAAAATTCAATGGATCTTAGATTAGGGAAGCAGTAATTCTCTATTTAAACACAATATTTTTCTCTGTTTGTAGCTGTGGGTGCAATTGTAGCTATATTATTTTGAATCGGAAACCCATCATGAAAATGTATCTCTGACATTTCCATTCATCTTATGTTTCTAGGCTCTCACAAATTTTTATGCATGATGAGATTTTTCCCCCTTTTTCCTAGGAAATTCGTGAATTGCAAGAACTTCAGCGAACATTGTATACATTTCTTCATGTGATTGCTACACATGATTTGTCAACTGTATTTATTTCCCCAAAATGTAAAGCATACCTGGATCCAGTGATGCAATTGCTTTTTTACTCTTCGTGTAATCATAAGGATGTTCTTATAAGAAAGGTATGTGTTTTGCTTTCTATTTATTTAACTAGAAGCCTAGAGGTGGTCAATTTTACTAGATTTGTTAATATGTTTGATAAAATTTACAATTTGAATCTTACTTTTTTTCCTTTTACAATTTAGGCATGCGTGCAGATTTTTATTAGATTAACTAAAGATTGGTGTGCCCAGCCATATGAAGAAAAGGTACTATTTACTCATTACTACTTATTCTGACTTTTTATTATTTTTAACTAAATGGTTAATGGTTTAGGTTCCTGGTTTCCGGAGTTTTGTGATCGAAACGTTTGCTACAAACTGCTGTTTGTACAGTGTGCTGGACAGATCTTTTGATTTCCGTGATGCAAATACTGTAAGATTCATTTATTCTTTTGTTAAATACTCTTTACCTATTTTTCTCTAGTGTTATCATTCTGCCATCCAAAATCACCATGTGAATGACATAAGTCCCTCATACATAGTAGAATTTAGAACTGTTTTCTAGTTCTTTGGCTTGTTGAGAAACAATTTGCTTAATTAAAATGGACATTATTTGAGGGGAGTTCATGAAACAGCTCTGAAGCAGAATTTCAAAATTCGATTCTTCATTAAAATGGAGTTTTACACTAATTAAGAACAAGTTTCTGAATTTCAGGACTAGGATGTTCTAGTTTAGAATGCCAAGACGCAAAAACACTAGAGCTTATACCAACATTATTTACAACATGAATGGAATTACAAGAATTAAGACTAGGTAATGAATATCTGGGTGAGCTATGCACAAGAGTGCGGAAGTATGCTTGAAAACTGGTAGAGTCCATCTTGGCCAAGCATTTCTTTGATAAATCTCACTAGAATCCTGAGAATTGTTAAAACAAATATTAGGATGGAATTCAAAACAAATTGCATTATCACGATCAAATTGACTTGCTAAGCATTTTTTTTTTTTGTAATTAGAGGAACAGGTAGCTGATTATTGAGAGTTAGTTTGATTTAGGATTAATAGGTGAAGAGAATGAAGATGAACCGGACGAGGAAACACACAAACCGTGTCCATTACCAAAGGAGATAGTTGTTGAATATTGTGCATTAGATATAACATGATGAGAAGCCCCTATGCATGGGTACCAATTAAGAGAGGATGCATGTGTAGTATTGGCCATGAGCACTTAACGAGCTACCGGCACTGGTGCTGGAGGGGACAATGCAGGAAACTGGGGCTTGGCAGGGAATATTGGTGTAGGGGAAAAGTTTGGCATGGGGAACTGAGAGTAGTAAGCCCCTCATTTAATAAGGATAAGGTCTCATTAAAATTTATAAAGAGGGCACCCCTCCTTACAAGTCTAAGTCCAATATAAAAACCTAATACGGTATCAGAGCCTAAGCCTATCAATTAGGGCGACCCACCATGTATATCCATGCACCTAGCCTAATAATAGTGTTGGGCGACAGCGTAAGGGGGTGTATTGGGAAAATCCAAGTCCCACAGTGAATAAAATAAGCTTTCATTAGAGTTTTTGAAGAGTGACACTTGTCACCTTGCAAGCTGATTTTGTACAAAAACCAAATAATTTGGTTGAGGGTTGTGCTCTTGAAATGTAGTATTGCAAAGTAGAGTATGGTCAGGGCATATGACAGAAATGGTTGAGGGTTCAACCTGTTGACACCATATCAGATAATTCTGCTTCAACTTAGAAATGACAGTGAAATGGTTCTGATTTGATGAAGATCCCTACGGTGGCAAGGGAGAAGAGGTGATGGGGATGCATTTTCATTGGATGATTGAAGAGAAAGATCCATGGATCAAAGAGGGATTTTTGATACCATTTTAGAGAATAAATTCTTGATTTGTTTCTGCTATAGAATATTCAGAGAAATGTATAATGTTATTTATTTCACAAAGCCTAATGATTACAAAGAGGGTTCTTCTACTCCTTATATACGAGTGTTGAGCTAATAACTATGCAACTAACTTGGCACCTGTCTAACTAACTGAATTTGGTTTAGTTAGTTAGTTAGTTAGTTTCATGAGAGTTTATTTTTTAGATGCATTGCGATGCTAAGTGTGGTGTACTTCTCAAAGGAGGGTGTTCTCTAAGGTGTGTCCCCATGCTAGATATGGTGCACTATAAGTATGTCTAATAATGTGTGTATTAAAACATAAAATTATACCTATACTCGTCTCTGAAGTTTTAAATTTTGATAATTTGTTATATTTTAATGTAATTAAATGTTTGTTTATAATGTTTTATGATTAAGATTGTGATTGTCTTTGGATATTTTAAAGCCAAGTTATATGTTGCACTTGTAGTTTTAGTCAATGTTCCTTTTAATTGATTTATTAATTTTTCAAGAGTTAGTATTAATATTATAATATTAATGAGTAATTTGTTAAAAGATGCATTAAGGGAGACCACATGCAAGTTAACTAAGGTGTGGGTGATGGTTCTGGGCACAAATAGATAGGTGTCTATTGGATATAGAAATAGGTATTGAAGATGCTATCCATGTGAGTATCAGTATGCATATTAGATGTGGCTATGAAACAGGGATGCTATCCTAATTTACCTAAGTTAATTAAATAAGAAAATGGAAATCCATATTTCAGTGTTTTGTCTTGACATTTCATGCCAATTTTAGTACTAATTTTGTTTCCTTTTTATTGTCTATGTTTCCATGCAGCTTGTTTTGTTTGGAGAAATTGTGGTCGCGCAGAAGGTCATGTATGACAAATTCAGGGATGATTTTCTCATTCATTTTATATCAAAAGGATTTTCTGTTGCCCATTGCCCGCCAGATCTGGCTGAACAGTATTGTCAAAAGTTGCAGGTGAACTTTCAAACTGAGAAATTGTAGTATGCTTTTCATGTCTTTCTGAAGCAAAATTTATATAGGCCTTTTGTCCATAGCAATATTTGAGAGACACTGAAATGTGATAGGAAGTAAAATTTGAATCTGAATGTTGATGTATTTTGAGCTTTTGTTGATTACAAAGAGGTATTTGTAATCTGAATATAACAGTAAGCTAGGTCTGTCACAGTAAATGATTAACCAAGAACCTTCCAGAACCTATACAGTTTGAAAAAAGAGAGAAAACAAGAAAATAATAGAATCTGTGTGGGAGCAATATACCATTCATATAATGAATTGTAACAAAGCTAGTAGTGATGTCTCTAGATGAAATATTCTCTATAATAAAGTGACAATTTATCTGCAACAAGACTATCACAAATGAGTGACAGGTTCATAATGTAAAAAACCGTAGCCCTAATTCCAGCCAGGTGAAATGTTTCACTCCATTAAGCTCATGTAACAAGTCGTCCAGCAATGGAATGGGTAACTTATCTTTAACTGTTTTGGCATTGAGTTAACGATAATTGTTAGATACTCGAGTTTGGGCCTTAGCCCAACAAATGGGCTGAAAAGAGAAGTGGTTAAATCTGCTTATGTGGCCAATTTGTTAATGGTGAACAACAATTATATTAAGGACTAGATACAACCAAGTCTTATCCTACTCAATGAGATTGGATACATGGATCAACTTTCGCCATAATGTTTTATTCAGGATCATGTTTTTATCTAAATCATTAATCTCAAAATCTTTCTTAATAACTTCTCTTATAGTCTTTCTAGGTTTTATTATATCTCTATAGTTGTTTGACTTCTCTCCATCTGATCTACTCTCCTTACCCAAAGTATATAGGTCTTCTCTCTACATGTCCAAACCACTTAAGTCTATTTTGCACCATCTTTTCTTCTATAGGTGCTACCCCAACACTATCTAATATTGTCATTTCTAATCTTATCCTGTCTAGTCTTACTATACATCCAATGCAACATCCCCATCTCTGTTACACTTTTTTTTATTCTCGTGTTGATTCTTAACCGTCCAACATTCATTCTTGTACAACATCACAGATCTTACCACAGTCCGATAAAAATTTTCTTTCCGCTTGAGTGATACCTTTGTGTCACATAAAATTCTTGAAATCCTCCTTCATTTCAGCCACCTAACTTGAATTCGATGATTTACATCTCCTTCTATTTATCTGTCATTTTGTATTACGGACCCAAGATATTTAAATCGTGTGACTTGTGGGATGATATGGTCTCCAACTTTCACATCTAGGTTAGAAACGCTTCTCAATTTGTTGAACTTACATTTCATATACTCCGTCTTTACTTATGCTTAGGTTAAAACCATACATTTCTAAAGTTAGTCTCCAACCTCTCATTTAAATCCTCCTTCGACTCTCTCAGTAGGACTATATCATCTGCAAAAAACATGCATCTCAGTGCTAGCTCTTGGATGTGTTTCGCGAGTCATCCAAAATTAATCTTAAAAGATAGAGGCTTGGGGTTGAACCTAGATGCAAACCTATTGTAATGGGGAAATCATCTGTCTCTCCACCTTGTGTCCGCACACTAGTCGCTACCCCTTCATACATATCTGTGATAGCTCACATATATGCTCTTAACCCCTTCCTTCTTTAGGGCTTTTCAAAAAATCTCTCTTGACATTCTATCCGATACTGCTCCATCACACGTTGTGCGCCTTCTCGAAGTCAATAAAAATTAAGTGTAAGTCTTGTTGGTCCATCCGATATTGCTCTATCACATGTCGTAGTAGATAGATCACTTCCATGGTCGACCTTAGGCATAAAACCAAATTGATTCTTAGTGACTTGAGTCTCTTTTCTCAGTCTCCGTTCAATCACTCTTTCCCATAACTCATGGTATGACTCATACGTATCTTTTCAGTTAGAATTTTTTTGGCTTGGGCAGAGAGAGTATTATCTCTTTTATGAGAAGCATTTCCTGAGATTGCAAGGGGGTTCATCTTCTGTAGTATTTCTATTTTCCATCAATAATTAAATTTATTTTTCTTTCTAAATCTGGGTTCCTATCAATAATCCTCACAAAAGTGCCACAAACCATCATGATTCCTGAATAGGGGGTAGGTGAAGAGAATAGGGACTTGCTAATTCTGCGGTCACAACATTTGAGTGCACTGTCTTTCAATCTCATATTTTTGAAAATGTGGGTAACTGGACTGAGGGGAGTGCGGTGATCATAGTGGCGGCTAGGCTGTAAGCAAGAAGGTTCCATAAACAAGTCTGCATAATCAGCCAGTAACTTCTCCAAGATTAGTGCTGGGAAATTTTGTCCCTGCATCACATTCAGTCTGTGTTCTACTTCACGAGGCTCAACCTGGGCTTAACCTTCCATTTTACCTTCTTCTCGTTCACTGCAAACTCTGTTTTTAAGGACCTAAAATCCCACTAGATGAGAAAAGTGTTTGAAACACATCTCGTGTCCTAGGGAATAGACTAATAGTAGACTTGCAAAGTCCCATAATAACTACCTTTTTCCCATTTGCCACATATACTCGCAGCCTTGGTTTTGCCACAAATTTAACCCCCAAATATGGGATTAAGTCTTTTTGTAGGAAATTATGTGTGCTTCCTGAATTAACTAAAACTGATACTGTGATTCTAGCCACTTTCATAAGCAACTTCATATTACAAGATTCATTTCCATAAATGGCATGTAGAGAAATCAGAGGATCATCAGTAGCTTGGTCCTCTGACTCACACTATCTTCGTCCTTGAGCCCTTCAATCCAAACCAACTTTTTTCATTTATGCCTTCAATCCAAACCAACTTCTGCCATTTATGCTCTGTTTTAATTTTCTTATAAAGGGTGCAAGAAACCCTGCTCTGTTATTTCTGCTCGTTTTAATTTTATTTATAAAGGGTGCAAGAAATCCTGCTCTGTTATTTCTACTAGTAAGTTTGGCCATGTCCTTTTGTTGGTGTGCCTTTCGGGTTTGAGATAACAGAACCACTGCTGAAGGTTTTATTCTTGTTATTGCATTCTGTAAGCATTCCTTGTGAGCCCGCCCTTTAGTTTACGCTCTAATGCTCGAGCCATATTCATTGCAACTCTGAGATTTGCTGATTGCTGAAATTCAACGTCTATGCTCAATTCATCAATCAGCCCAGCAGTAAATAGGTCCTATGCTAATTCTTCCCTGTCTCCTTCAGCTATCTTTGGTGCCTCAGCCACCCCCAACAAGTCCCCTGTGCCATTGTAAGTGGGTAACACTTTGGAATAGCAGGAAACCTGATAAGCCTAGGTCACCTATCACCAAGTTTTACACTCGCAGGCAGCGATGCCTAAGGAGTGCAGGGTCAAGAGATGCGAATCAGGGGGCGTGACCCTTGGTGAACAGACACACCCACCTGAAAGGATGTAACCCTTGTAACCAAACATCATGAAATCTAACCGTCACAACCCTTCTGATTAATTGTGCCAATTAAGAAGAGATGTTAAATGCAGTATAAATAGAAACAAATCAGAATTAGGAAACTATTCAGGAAAATTAGGAAGAATTTGAATTCTGGAGAGACAGGCTCTTGAAAACCTGTGTTGTAATATTCCAAAATTATCTACATATGTTTCAATTGTAATATTCCAAAATTATCTACATAAATTTCAGTTTTCATCTTTTCATTTCTGTTCCGTTTTGTTTGGCTCTTATCAATTAGTATCAGAGCACCATCCAGGTGCTTTGCTTTCAACTATGGTGACAATTCAATCTAATTCCGAAAATCCAGATACAATGGAGAGAATTTTGGAAATGTTGATGGCAGACCGACAAAATCGAGATGCAGAACGACAACAATTCGAGATACGCTTTGCACGCCTAGAAGCCATGGTGGAAAATTTGTCCAAACATTTAGAAGATGACACACCCAAAGGTTCCATCAATGGAGAACATTCAACCAAGGTCTACACCGGAGAAAGAAAAACAGAACGTTGGAGAAAATTAGCAATCCCCATATATGATGGAGAATCTGATGCTTATGTCTGGATAAATAAATTGGAACACTTCTTTCAAATGAGGGACATCCTAGAAGAAGAGAAAATTCAGGCAGTTATGGTGGCTCTAGAGGGAAAGGTGCTATCTTGGTTCCAATGGTGGGAGAATTGCAATTCTGTTATTAGATGAAAAGATTTCAAACTTGCCATTCTTGAAAGGTTCCATACTTCAGCCACACTCAACCCTTTTGCTGCCCTCCTTACACTTAAACAAGAAGAAACGGTGGCAGAGTACATTGAACAATTTGAAAATTTTATAGGTATGCTGAAAAGAACATTTAAAGGACATTAAGGAACACATTGGGGCAGAAATTAAACTCTACAACCACCCACTTTTTCAATCATGGTCAAGAAGACATTAATGATTGAACAAAAAATTGAGCAATTTGGGAGGTGGGACCGAATGCTCCTTCTAACTCAAATTCAAAATTCAACAACTCGTATCGAAGTCCATCCTATTCGAAGACTGTTACTTATGATGTTAGTCAGAAAGTTGGAGGAAAAAGTAATGACCCTTCTAATTCTTTTGCGAGCAGTGTATCCGTGAACAAACCAGAGATCAGCAACCGACCTAGAGGATTTCAACGATTAACCGAAGCAGAACTTCAAGAGAAGATGAAGAAAAGAGAATGTTTTCGTTGTGAAGAAAAATGGAGCACTTCTCATGTATGCAGAAATAAACAATGTTAGTATCATATGAAGATGATGTTGAAAACTCCGAAGAGGAGCCCGAACCAGAATTTGGAGAAACGCCCGAATTATCCATGAATAATATTGTGGGATTTACTTCTCGTCGATCCTTGAAGGTTTGGGGAAGTATTGATGATAACAAAGTCATAGTATTGATAGATTGCGGCGCCACCCACAACTTCATTTCGAAGGAACTGGTGGGAAAATTACAATTAGAGGTGGAAGACACTCCATCATACGTTGTAGAAGTCAGCGATGGTCACAAAATCAAATGTAAGGGA